ATAGTTTCTCTCTTAACAGGATAAGAAAATTGCTTAAGCGATTCGAAGAAATTTGATGAACTTCACACGAAGATTTTCCATATTTGAGCAAAGCATCCATACATAAGACACATAAGAATCCTTGTTCCGTAGTTGTCTTCCAAGATCCGATACCCGTAAGAACAAATATCCGCAGGAAGACAAACCATGTGGTGGAGAGCGTTCGTTGAATCCTTAGCCGATAAAGGAGGAAAATCGTTTCCTTCCATGACCTTCAAAGCACAATAGCACAATAGAAACAATACCCAGTCTCATGAGAGCACAGTCACAAGATAAGAATGAAGAAACCTCACTGCCATAGAAAGTGAACAACATGAGGTCAAAATAAGAGCTCTAAAACGCACAACCTGCACATTCGGATTCCAAAATTCGAATTCTCATCTCCGTGGCCTAAAAACAAAAGTGTCTCATGCTGCTGGTCTGCAGTCTGCGTCTAGCCACGGTGTGTTAAGAATAACTTTTTCATCTTTAAGACATTAAGTTTCAGTCCCAAAAAATGTCTAATAAAGATAAAAAAACAACGTTTAAATGGAAATTCATTTCTTTAGAAGTAAAGATACAAATTTTGGACTGTCTTCTAAAAGGAGGAAAAGCATCTCTGGAAAAGTTTTAATTTGAATGAAGCAACAGTTTTTCAAAGAGCTCTTCTGAGAGAAATGAACACTGAGGTCCGGTGTCCAGGAGGGCAGTAGTTGGTACGTTATTTACAAGACTATGTATCTTCTGCATGGCTAGATTTTGTACCACGACTTTATTCAAATGAATTTCTGAGAGACCTTCCTTCCCACTCGATGAACGTGCCCCCTCTTTTCGCTGACATTTGTATCCGCCACCCTTAGATTTATAAGCGCTTTTGTAATTGGAAATTTCACCTTTTCCCAAAACTTTTTGTTAACAGTCCGGACTGTTAACAAAAAAGAAATAAGAAGTGCAGTTGCTGCAAGATCTTCGGCAACCGCAAAACGTGCAGTTCGCCCCCGGGCGCCAGTAATTGAGAAGATGGAAAAGGCACATAGCATTTGGATTGATGATAGCTGTCAAAAAAGAATTCCGTTGGATGTTAATATCATTAAATAAAAAGCACTCAAAATTTTCAAGCACAGGGAAGAACATGGGGAATCCTCTGTCAACCCAGATTTTCTGGCAAGTAAAGGTTGGTTCAAAAACTTCAAAAAGCGTTTTGCACGTAGGAATTCAAGGAGAATCTACATCGGCTCATTATGAAGCTGCTATGACGTTGATTATGAAGTTAAAGATTGGCTTTTAAATTGTTTTGTACCAGACGCTGAACGTTATTTAAGGCAGAAAAATTTGAGCCTCAAGGCGCTATTACTATTAGATAATGCTCTATGTTACCCACAAGATTTGAATCATCCCAAAGTCAAAACACTGTTCCTACCATCTAATACTTCAACCATTGGATCAAGGTATTATTTATACCTTTAAAAAAATATTGCATAAGAAGAGCATTACAGTGGATTTTAGACGTAACTGATTCAAAATCAATTAATGTTATGGAAGCTTGGAAGACAAACAGGACAGCACTGTAGCGACATCGTATTTTTGTATCAACGTTAAATGCATGTTAGAAGAAGAAATTGCCCTCTTCAGCTGAAACAGAAATGGTGCGTCAGAAAACAAAATTGGTGGCTTATTAGAACTTGCTTAATCAATCAGAGGCGAAGGTTTTGTCGACATGGCTATTGAGGACATTCAAGATTCATTAGCGGAAGAAGAAATTGACAAAGCAGATTTGATCGAAATGGCATCAGAAACTGTAAATCAAATCGATTCTCAGGACACTAGCACTGATGAAGATTGTGCAGTTAATAATTTAACATTAAAAAACTTAAAGGCTTAAACTTAAAGGCCTAAGCTTGACTGAAAATCTCGAACCATTTTTCTTGATTGCAGACACTTTCGCTGAAATAAGCTGAAAATACAAAAGGGAGCTGCAAAACCGTCTAGCTCCATATCGAGAAATTTACATTGACCCGGTAAGAACTAGGGCGTGAAGTAAAATTACAGATTTTTTAAGGAAAGAAGAAAATGCAAGAACTTTAAATAAAGAAAAAAATCCTGAATGTGAAAGCGATATCATTTCAACGAAAAAACGTTCTCGATTGATTATAATAAGCAGTGACAGCGAAGAAATTCATTAAACTAAAGTTGCGTTAAATTAAAATTGTAATATTTTTTGTTTTGTGTTGTACATACATATATACATTTAATAAAAATTAAGTTGTTTATGTAGAATTTTAGAAAAAATTGTTCTTAATACGTTTTCGGAACGTAACCCCCTTTTTATACTGGCTGTGGGTCTCATACAACACGGTTTCATATTACATGGAAAAAACTTCAATAGATTGTCATAATATCTGCGATAAACATTTTTGAAACGTATGTACGCTCATCTTTATGTTGGACAAATGCCAGAGGGGCTTTACACATCCTTAGAACATTTTAGAGAAAGAATTTTTAAAAAAAGCAAATGTTTTGGAATAAACTGTTCTGGTAAGAGCTTATTATTTGATATGAAAAACATCATCTATTATTTTTTAATTTATTTTTCTTTCAAAACGTTACAAGATGTGGATTCAAAGATAAGTTTCTCAGCTTTCTGATAATCGGAAAGGGAAAAACCTTAAGTCATTATTTCTACATTGAAGGAAGATTCCAAACGAATGCCAGAAAAAGGGTACTACTGAATTAAATAGTTGGTAGCAAGACAAAATCTGCTGATGCAAAAATCAGTAACGAAGTTTTTAAATACATCTGTAGCATCGATAAATAAAATAATAAGCTAAGATTTACAACAAAAGAAATCTAAAAACTTAATGTTCTCCAGCTTTAGCAGAGGCATGTGGCTCAACGCCAAAAAAAAAAAAAAAAAAAAAATTTGTAGAATCCTGTATAAAAACTATTTGGCAGAAGATAAATGAAAATGCATTATGACCCTTGATGAAGCATCTGTTTAGGTGACTGCAACTAAAAACGGTATTTTTACTATAAAAAACCAGGGGGAGGGATGTGTACAAACCTGGTTCCATCAACGCAAACAAAACTTCAGTAAGGGGTTTATGATTGTCGCAAGATTTTCTTACAATGAAAAATTAAGCAGAAGGATAGGGAAAAAATTAAATAAATGTATTAACTAGTCAATGCATTATTTCATGGCCTATATTTTCAGAAGAAATTCCATTTCTTTATCAAAATTACTTTCAAAGAGTTAAACTTCATCAAGACAAAGCAACAAGTCATACTTTGAAAAGTACCACTGCATGCTTTGAAAAAATGAAGACTGACGCAGGTACTCCATATACATCTTTTCAAAATATTCCTATGGAGTCCCCTGATATTTGACCTATGAACTATTCTGACTTTGGTTTCTTGAAAAGAGCTCTTTTTAAGTGCAAACCCACTATGATTGAAAGACTCAGGAAAGCAGTGGAAGAGGAATGGAAATCCTGGTCCATGATATTTTATAAACAGCCCTTCTATCATGGAAATTCCGATGTGGATTTATTGTCCAGACTTTTTTCTGGACAATAAGACTTTTGTCCTAAGAGACTTAGGTCCAAACTTTTTTCCAGACTTCCTACTGCACATTTAAAAAAATAATCTTTAGATTTTAAACATTAATTAAACAGCCTCTGAAACCATTCTAAAAATGTGTAAAGCCCCTCTTCATTTGTAAAACGTTTGTAACCGTATCACCTGAACACCCTGTATAAAATAGCAATATTTGTCAATGGTATTTAATAAAACCAAATCTTTATTATTTAAATAAATTTAAAATGAAAGAAAAATATATGGAAGTTTCCCATCTACATCTTGTTACAACGCTTTATTAAGTTTCATTTTTAATGCAAATGATGAAATATAACTCAAAGAAACATTAATAAAATATCTTATGCCATTTTGGATTTTCTTCACAAAGTGAAAAACAATTCTTGCAGTTGATGAAAAAGTTATATTTAAAATAAAATTTCCTTTTTAAATTTAAATCATCATTTCCTAAATTTTTCAGCTCATCAAGCCCTTTTAAAAGCCCTCCTTCTCTCCCCCCCCCAAAGCACTCCCTATTTTTGTTAGAATGATATATTGGTATTGTCACAAATGCCGTCAAGAAGGGGAGAATGAGGTTAACTGCAAAGGGAAAATAAACAGGTGTGTCAGAGGTCATAAGGGAAAATATATTGTAAAAGAAAGATTTTTTAGGTCTCATTCAGTATCAAGATATCAGAGAAAAAAAAAATTGAAAGGAGTTACAGAGAGAGCTCTCACCTGTTATTTACTGCAAGTCAGTAGTTACCAAAATATCTGGTAGTTAGAGAGTAGATTAGATTCCGGTATCATGGATGAACATGATACCAGAATGGAGACAAATTATATAGGACACAAAATGTTTTGAAGTGCTCTTTTTCTTTTATGTATTACTTACAGTTTAAACAGATTTTTTATTCAAAAAAAAAATATGTACATGTTACTCACTGAACTCTGTTCATTAGTCTGAACATCGATGAATAATATTTCTCTGACAAGGAGAGCTTTTTGATTGCACAATCTATTTTACATTTAACAAGCTTCTGCCAAATAAATATATTCCTCATTGTATGTAATTTCTGCAATATTTTGTAATGCTGATACTTTCAAAAATTAAAATTTTATTTTTTAAAGATATTTTCTTGTTTATTCACAAATATTTATATTTTCTGTTCTAATAAGTGAAACATTTAATTAAAATCTGATACTAATTACAGTTCCCACACACAATGTTGCCCCCTGCCCCCATGATTTAAAAATAGATGACCATACACATAAAGTTTACATTTTCAACACAAAATGTTCAAAACATAAAAGTCATAATTGCTGTTTTTGGGAATATACTGAATAAATACATTTAATATTTCCTGTATAGAATAAAAGCTTATAGTAAAAAACATAAATTACAACAAAAATGAATCAACATATGTTTATTTCCTATAATAACAAAAACAACTGAATCATAGAGGAAACAAATTATGAACAATCTGGATACAGATAATATTCAAATACATGCTAAATTTCTATTGATTAAAAGGGAAAAAAAAACTATGCTTTATCCTTTTCAGCATTTAGCAAAGCAGATGTTATGTTCACTTTTTTCAGTTCCTCTATAAGCTGTCCATTTTGATGCATTTCTAATAAAATATCACAACCTCCAACGAATTCGCCATTAATATAGACTTGGGGTATAGTTGGCCAGTTGCTGAATTCTTTGATACCTGAAACAGAAGATATAAAAATAAGAAACAAAATAGAATTAACAGATCAGCACATAATGCATAACAATATTCGATACGCATAAAGCATAATAATGTTAGATATGCATAATGCATAAAAAATTAAATATACATAATAATATTAGACTTTTATCAAATTTAAAAGCTTCCTAATTAACTTAAAAGTCCAGCTTTCATCAATTAATAAATTCCAGAATTCGCTGAATCATGCAGAAAAATTTTATAACTTTTTCCCAAACACTTCCATCTTTTCTTATACTTAATTAACCCTCTCCAGCACAGCGTGCCCGAAAAATTCCGTCTGTACACACAGGAAAATTGAATGGAAAATGCTTTAAACCTTCTTTATTTATATATTAGATGGCAGCAGATCACAAACCAGTCCATACATTTTAGCCATGTTTAGTTTTTAAAGACCTATATTTTTCAAAGAAATCTTCCAGATTTTTTTTAGGATGTAAAAGGAATTATTTGAAAAGAAATTTCGATGTCATTTTCTTGGCTGCATGCTGATCTCTTTATTCTACATTAGTTTTAAATTTTTACCTCGAAATCTTGCCTAAAATCGTATGACGAACATCTGGTGTGTCTAGTGTGGGATCACTGAAACACCAGGACCAGACCAACAACTGTGTCTTTTGTTTCACTGCAGTATTTTCTCAGTGAGCTCATTCACAATAGAAAAGTGAGTTCGCATCTGTATTTCATTTCCTGCTTTTTGGGAGGGAGGGAAGGTTTGGAAATCAACTAAGAAATTGTTGGGATGATTTTCTGAAGGTCAGAAGTAATTTTATCAGTTAGCTCTTTGATTTTGCACTAGAGTAGTTTTCTTTTTTCTTTTGCTTTTGTTGAAAGAAGTTTTGTTAGCTCTACGTTTTGATAGTTTTAATTTGTAGATGTTTATTTTATAGTTTATATTTCTTAATTGTAGATATAATATTAGTTTATTTTTTCTGATTTTTAATTATTTTGCAAGTGGATCGGATAGGGTTGACAATTTCTGAAACACTGAAAGTGCTACACGAATTGCTTTCAGATAGTGAAGAAAGAGGTTTGGCAGTAATGATGACCTTTGTACTATTCCCTCGCTCAGCCCTAAGAATTTCATTATCTAACATTAGCTTATTGCCACACTGTTTTTCATGGGCTTTTTCCTACACAAATAAAACAAGACATTACACATTTTATTATGACGATGGTCAACCTATTTATTCAAAGGTATGACAGCTTAATCCAAACTGATTAGCGATAGCTAATAAGGATTTTAATTCATATTTAATTATGTAATAATTTGTCCATCATACTCCAAGTGGTCAAGCACCTTGCATCTTGTTATGAAAGAAAAATGGTTCTTATCAGCCTTGCGGAGACTACTGTTGACATAATGCATAGACAATACCTGATCGGTAGGTACCCAGTCCCTCAGATTGAAGATTTTCATCATATTTTAAAAGACACAGATATTTTCTCTAAAATTCAATTTTGAAAGCTTATTTTCAAATTCCAACTCCAGAAGAGAACAAATGTAAAACATCTATCATCATTCCTTTCAGTTTGCATGAATTTAATATAAAGAATTTCAGTTTAAAAAAATGCTCCTGCAATGCTCCAATGATTTATTCATGAAGTCTTTAGAGAACTAGAATTCATTTTTTTTTTTTTTTTTTTTTTTTTTCTTCTATTTAGATGATATACTTATTGCATCCAGTACTCATGAAAAACACAAAAATCACCTTAGTTTTCAAAAGATTAAATACCTTTGGCTTATTAATAAATATTTCAAAAATTGTGTTTACTGTTCAAACAAATCGAGTTTTTAGGATACATAATTACACCTCAGGGTTCCGGTCCTTTGCCAGAAAAAGTTTAAACTATTGCCAACTATAAACAACCAGAAATAATTTATGAACTTCGAACTTTTCTCAGAATTATTAATTTTTATTATTGTTATCAGATGCAGTGAAAAATCAAGCATTGTTACATAAATACCTTTCTTAAAGAAGCTAAAAAGAGAGACAAATGTAAAATTTGGCTAAAGAAGATGAAAAACAGTTTAAAAAGCACAAGAATGGCCAGTTGAAATCTGCACTGCTGTCTTTTCCCAATCCTGAATTATCTCTGATGTTATTTACAGGTGCTTCAGATACATCAATTGGCTCAGAATTACCAAAAAAAAGTACAGCACCTATGATTGAGAGCTGTTAAGCATATATATTTCAGTTCAGTTTTAGACACTTCAAACATTATCTAGAAGGCATAGCATTTACAATTTAAACAGAGCACAAACACTTAATAAGTCGTTCTTCATCAAAAACTTTACAAAGCCGCATCTAGACAAGTCCGCTAGCTTCATTAAATCTCTCAATTTTGAACTAATATTATATATGTAAAAAGTGAAAACAATATTGTAGCTGATACATTTATTTAGGGTTAATGAAATTTTATCAATAGATTGTGATTAAATAGCTGGTGAACATACTCAAGATGAAGAATTCACAAGTTTGCAAATCACTACTTCCTTCAATTTAAAGCAATGATTTCTGATTTCTGGGAAATATTTATGGTGAATACATCAACTAAAAATATTCATATGAAAGAGAAAGATGCTGGATTTATTTAATAAAAACCACAATGAAAAAATGTTTCATAGAGTTTTCATTTTACTTTTCCTCCATTCCCCCTTACCAAACACAATTTATATTTTCACCTGCATATTATTCATAATTTCTAAGAGATACTTATTAAGAAATATTTGCTTTTACTAGCAATTATGCAATTAATTCCTGTAATATAATACAGGTAGCTCTCAACTTTCGCACAATTCGCTATTTTGCACATTTTTAAAAAATTAAATTTTTTAAAGATTTTTGTCAATAATGAAAAAAATTTGCCTGCACATCAATTGTTTTCAGCTCACTCATTCCATCCGTTTCCCCCTTAGTCTTGTCAGCAGGAGGCGTTCGTAGCTGTGACGAGGTTAGGGGTGGGGTCACAGACACACATTACTTCTTACAACAGCAGACTTCTTGGAATCATAATCACTACTGTGTTGTTCCGAGCAAGAGGTCAAAGCACTTTCAGTCTTGCATTAGGGCATGCATCAATGTGTTGTGTATTTTGGCAATTTATTTGTTTATGTTTAAATATTTTGCCCTTACAAATTGATAAACATGAGTGAGAAACAAAGAAACTGTGATGCTGATACGAACAAAAAGAAATTAGACTCATAAACTTCATATCATCAAGACAAAGGTGGAAATAATTAAATGTTCTGAAAACAGTGGATCTTTTGCTTCAGTTGGATGTTTGTACGATGATAACAGATCTACAATATATTCACTTTTGAAAAATAACAGTAAAATTAAAGAATACGTTCAAAATTGTGGAAATATATCTCCAAAAAACTGTTTTTAAAAGACACAGCATAGTGATGGATGAAATGGAAAAATCTTTGTCATCATGAATAGATGATCAACATCAAAATAATGCCCCTTTGAGTTTTTCAATTATTCATAATAGGGCTTGTAGCTTGCATGAAGATTGGAAGACTAAAGATTAAATAGATTAAATGATGATTCAAACACAGTGTTTCAAGCAAGTAATGGCTGGTTCAACAAATTTAAAATGAGATATTACTTACATAATATTAAATTTAGTGGAGAATAAGATGCAGATAAAGCTGCTAAGAAAGAATTTATTTTCTCATTGTCCGAAATTATTATAGAAGGAGAATATTCTCCTTGTGAAATATTCAATGTAGATAAAACTTTACTTTGGGGGAAAAAAAATGCTTCATCAAACATTTTTATCAAAGGAAGAATCAGTTGCCCCTGGACATAAAACTTCCAAAAACCGATTGACCTTGTCTCTTGGTGAAAACTTAGCTGGCGATTTAAAATTGAAGCCATTTTTTATTACATTAGATATTACCAAGTGGAAAATCCCAGAGCATTGAAAGGAAAAGATAAAAAATTGCCTCCAGTCATTTGGCAATCAAATAAAACCACCCGAGTTACTGCATTAATATTTAAAGATTGGATCAAACAGTGACATCGACATTTAAACGATACTATATGAGGACAATAATGAATCAGGCCGTCAAGGCATCTGGCAGGGAAGGTGGGCCTGCATTAAGAGATATTTAGAACTATTTCTAAATATCTCTTATAGAACTATATTATAGTTCATTTATTAAATGAAAAGCAAAAACCAGTATTGGACACTCGTGGGCTGAAATAAAAAAGCTGAAAATGAAAGGTTCCAGGGAAAAATTATGCCCACAAATAATGAATGATTTTGTAAATTTCAAAGAAACAATGGAAGCTGTAACAGATGAAATAATTAGCCTAATGAATGAACTGAACTTGGACATCAACAACGAAGATGTTAATGAGTTTACTGAATCTCACTCAAATCACTCTGCTAAATGCAAACTTAATTGAGCAAAAAAGAAACAGCGAAAGTGAGGAAAAAGAAGCTGATAAAATGTCCAGACTTCAACAATTAAAAATATGAATGAAGCCTTCATGCATTTTGACAAAATTTTTTATATGGAAGAATGTGATCCCAATGGAGAACGTATATCTCAAGTATGTAAGGTTACTGAGACAGACAATGCATGTTACAGAAATACGAGGGCCATCCAGGAAGTAGATTACGTTTCCGTCTGTGTCCGCTAGGGGCGGGGCTAGCGCGGCCATCTTGGGGTCAGAGCGTTGCGCAGCTCAGTCTGCATCTAGCCGTGCTAGTGAGAGGTTCGTGCTGTGCTCCGTTCAGATACTGTGACGGTTTGAAATGTCTGCGTTAATTGAAAATCCCGCGAGCTGCGAGGTGCGCTCAGTAATAAGGTTTCTGACTGCAAAAACTGTAAACCGATAGAAATCTATCGGCAGCTTGTGAAGTGTATGGGGACAACATTATCACTGAAGGGTGGACGTGCGTCAGTGGGTCATAAGATTTCAAAATGGCCGAACCAATGTTCA